AAAAATATATACTGAAAAAAAAGTTGCCGCTCTCTAAATCTGAATTAGTAAAAATGTTTACTAATTTGAATTAGTGACTCACTTTTTGCTTCTAAATTAGTTAAATTTTACTAATTGTTAGTAAAATTTTAAATCTGAATTAGTAAAATTTTACTAACAATTAGTAAAATTTAACTAATTTAGAAGCAAAAAGTGAGTCACTAATTCAAATTAGTAAACATTTTCACTAATTCAGATTTAGAGAGCGAGAAATTCAACTACCATTGGGTAGTTAACTAGAAGGTAGTTAAAATAACTACTTTTTTAGTTAATCTAATCATGTTCATGTAGTTAATGTAACTATTTTTAAGAAGTTAATAAGTAATAGTTGATTTTACGCAAATATTTAGTTAAAGTACAACTAAAGGTCGGTAGTAAAATTAACTTTCTTAAGGGAGTAAAAACAAGTGGAATTGTAGTCAACTCAAAATTTGAAGATTAGTAAATCCAATTACTATTCAAAAATTATTATATCAAAATATATAACAAAAATTGTTAATAATTTTTTATTTATAAAAATATAATGTATATAATTAATTAAAATATTTTTTAAATAAATCATATAATAATTATATTTATTATTTAATTATTTTAATTTATTTTCTTTGGTAGGAAAAAATTTAATATATAAAAAAAAGTATAAAACTTATAAAAATTAATTTAATAATTTTATAAAGTATTTTTAATTTATATAAATTAAATATATTTCATTACCTCGAAATATTAGATTATAAATTATTTATATAATTCATTTTTAAAACTTTTTTTTTGAAATAAATGAAATAATGTTTAGGAATTAATAATATTGCAAATAAATTAATATATCATTTTAGAAAACAAATGAAATGATTATTTTATTAATCAAATTATTATAGAATTTTTTTTTTTAAGTATTTAAAAAAAAAATTATTCAATCTTCAAAAAAATTAAACAAATTTTTTTTTAATATTCATAAAAACAAAAGTAATATATTAAAAAAGAAAACAATGAAAATAAGAAAGGAGATTTTTTGAAATATAGTAAAATGAATTATTTTCTTTAATTAATATAACTGTTTTTTGAGTAGTAAATTTTTTATTAATTTCTATGATTTTATAGGCTTCAATAAAATTCTTGTTATAGAATTAACAAGTCGTCTGTAATTAAAACTACTACTTTAAGTAGTAGATTTTTACTATTTTAATTAATTCGATAAACTTAAAGAAGATTTTTGATGTTGAATTTACAAATCGTTTCCAATTAAAACTACTACTTTCAGTAGTAGCTTTTACTACTTAAAGTGGTTCAATAGGCTTAAAGAACATTTATGTCGTAGAATTAAAAAGTCCTTTGCAATTAAAACTATCACTTTAAGTAGTAGATTTTACTGCACTATGCAATTAAAAACAACTTATAATATAATTAAAAGATGAAAAATTTACAAGTTCTTTTCCTTTGTGCTACTAATAAAAATACAAAAATCTTAAAGTCTGACTAAATATTGACTCTTCTACTGATAAAATTAAAAATGTTTAAATTTTTACTAAATATTGATTTGTACTACTAATAAAATTACTGATTTCTACGAAGTCTGACTAAACATTTACTTGTTTTACTTTACAATTAAAAGAAACAATTAGAACGTCTGACTATATATTTACTTGTACTACTTAAAAAATGAAGAAATAAGTTAAACTTCTGATTTAGTCTTTTTATGTCTGACTTAAAACTTATTTGATCTACTTAATAAAATTGTATTAACTATAAAAATATTAGGCACATCGATAGTCTGACTAAATAATGAATTGTACTACTTAAAAATTAAAAAAGACATTCAAAGGTCTGACTTAATTTTTACTTGTATTACTGATAAATTTACTAAAATTTATAATGACTGACTATATATTTACTTGTATTACTGATAAATTTACTAAAATTTAAAATGACTGACTAAATATTTACTTGTCCTACTTAAAAAAATTGAAAAAAAATTTAACCATCTAACTGAATATTGACTTATACTACTTAAAAAATGAAAAACAATTAGAACGTTTGACTAAATATTTAATTATTATTACTTTAAAAATTGAAAATAAATTCAAACGTCTGACTAAATATTGACTTGTACTACTTAAAAATTAAAAAAACATTCAAAGGTCTGACTGCATATTTACTTATACTACTGATTTTCTTATTTAGTTTTTATGGCTGACTTAAAACTACTTGTACTACTTAAAAAATTAAAAACTTAAACGTCTGACTTAATATCGACTCTTACTACTGATAAATTGACAAAAAATTTAGCAACAAAAAAATATTCTCTGTAAAATAATAATTCGGTCAAATAAAATTCGGTTCAATGAAAATTAGATCTATTGGAATTCTATTAAATGAAAATTCTAACAATTGATTTTTAAAACTTATTGAGTTTGAAAAAATTTTCTTTTTATACAAATCTTGATTATTTTTTTATTTGGAGAAAAAAATCTACTTTCCGAAAAAAAAAATTTAAAGGTCAAAAAATTGATTTTTTTGAGAAAACTTTCCTCATCACGTTTGAATAATAATCTTTGTTCTTAAACATTTAAGTTAGATCATTATTCAACCTAATAATGTCAGATACGTTCATGTCTCATTTTGCTGTTACCTTTTGATGGTATATACATATATATATTCCACCAGACGTGTAAGAATAAATGATAGAACTGAAATTCTATAGTAGTAGTTTTCTCATTGATTTTACAATTTTACTCTACAATCTAGTTTGCATTATTCCCATCATTGTTATATATTTGCATTCAAATTTTATCCAATTTTCTTTTACTGATTTTTATTTTCCAAGTTTCAATTTCAATTGTTTTTTTTTTCTTAATTTCTATTTTTTTATTCTTTACCTATTTTTATTATTTCCCAATTTTTCTTCTTTTCTTTATTCTATTATTTTTTTTTCACAAAATTGCATTAAAAATCTTTTGTTTCCAATTGAAAAACTTTTTTCATTTCCTTTTGATTTACTGAGAAAATTTAACGAGATTATTTTAATAATAAATAATAATGAAATTTATATGGCAAAATTCTGTATATAGAATATGAATGTAAAGAATGATTGAAAGTCGTAAAAAATAAGTCCATCGTACGACTGAACGAAGTTCTATATATATATATATATATATATATATATATATAGAAAATGTGACAGGAATAAGAAAACAGACTTTCTAAAAATGATCACAGAATGTTTCAAGATTGACTTTCACCCTTGCTCTCATCTTAAAAAAAAAAAAATAAAATTAAGTTCAAACCCCTCTAATTTAACATCTATTTTTTTTTGCCAATCACTTTCATGTGGCGAAAAAGATGCTGGGCAAAAGGAACATGCGACAATTCGCGTTCTACGATAAATTCGTGTCCTGATGGTGTCCTATGGGTTACCTATATATATAGTGTGTGTGTGTGTGTTCGTTTTCGTCGATGGCAACGAAGATGAATCGCGGTGATTCTAAAAAGGAGAGAAGACGTGACCCGAATTGAACACACTTCGCATCATAGGATTTTATATATATATATATATATATATATATATATATATATATATACATGAAATAGAAAGTGGAGGGGAGGGGGTAATACAAAAGAATTTTTGCCAAAAAAAATAGATAAGAAACAAAAGAAATAAAAATAGAATTTTTTTTTTCATGTATTTTTAAATTTATTTTTTTATAATAAAAAAATGCGAATTGAGTTAGAAAAAAAACAGAAAATAATTAGAAAAAATAGATGTCTAAAACAAATTTGTATTACTGATACAATTTTAAAGAATGTAGAGCTAAATATTGATTTTTACTACTGAAAACTTAAAACTCTGACTAAACATTTACTTTTTCTACTCATTTTCTAATTTCTGCTTCATGGCTGGCTAAATATTTACTTGTACTACTGATAAATTTACTAAAATTTGAAAAGACTGACTAAATATTGACTTGTGCTACTTACAAAATTGAAAAACAATTTAAACGTCTGACTAAATATTGACTTGTACTACTTAAAAAATTAAAAACCATTTAAACGTTTATTTACTTAAACTACCTAAAAATTAAAAAAACCATTAGAATGCCTGACTTAATATTGACCTGTACTACTGAAATTTTAATTTAATCACTGAATCCGATTAAAATCGTATTCATTAACAAATAAAATTACAAAAATTTAAAGCCTGACTAAATATTTACTTGTACTACTGATAACATTACAAAATTTTAAAAAGACTCACTTTCATTTCCTTTGTGCTACTAATAAAAATACAAAAATCTTAAAGTCTGACTAAACATTGACTATTCTACTGATAAAATTAAAAATGTTTAAATTTTTACTAAATATTGATTTGTACTACTAATAAAATTACTGATTTTTCTGAAGTCTGACTGAACATTTACTTGTTTTACTTTAAAATTAAAAGAAACAACTAGAACGTCTAGCTAAATATTTACTTTTGCTACTGATAAATTTAATAAAATTTAAAAAGACTGACTAAATATTGACTTGTACTACTTAAAAATTAAAAACCATTTAAATGGCTATTTACTTAAACTACTTAAAAAAATTAAAAAAAGAATTTGAATGCCAGATTTAATATTGACTTGTACTACTGAAATTTTAATTTAATCACTGAATCTGATTAAAATCGTATTTATTAACAAATAAAATTACAAAAATTTAAAGTCTGACTAAATATTTACTTATACTACTGAGAAAATTAAAAAACCGTTTAAAATGTCTGACTTAATATTTACTTGTAACATTTGGCAAAATTATAAAATTTAAAAAAGACTAACTTGTACTACTACTGATTAGTGTCTGACTAAAATTGATTTATACTACTGATAAAATTATAAAAATTGTGTGAATAACAATTAAAAATTATTAATAATAATTAAATTTCACTTCTGTAAATAATAATTGTGTTTTTTTTAACAATTTTTCAGAATGGATAATGCAGAGATGATATAATTGCTCCAACGAGGACTATCACAATCGGTAAGTCAATTTTTTTTTTTTTTTTTGAAGAAATATTATATCGAATCTTCATAATTTATAAATAACTATTGTTCGTTATAATCTTTTTGCACTGAACATCAATTTCGCCACCGTAAATTCATGTCAATAATAATTCACTTTCTATTCTCAATGCAATAAAACTATTAAATCTTTGCAAAAATTTAGAAAGTCGAACTAAATATTGACTTGTACTACTGACAATAGTAAAAACGTTTACTACTGAAAAAATTATAAAAATAATTTCAAGTCCGACTAAATATTTGCTTATACTACTAATAAAATTGAAAAAAATTAAAAAGTCTGAATAAATATTTACCTTTACTACTGATTTGCGATAATTTTTGTCGATGTCTGAAAAAAAATCGATTTGTACTACTGCAAAAAGTACAAAAATTTAAAAAGTCAAACTACATATTGACTTGTACTACTAAGTTACAGAAAATTAAAAAGTCTGAATAAATATTTATTTTTACTATTGATAAAAAAAATAATTAAATTTCTATAAAAATAGAAATAATAAAAAATTAGCCTGACTAAATATTAACTCATACTACTGATAAAATGGAAAAAAATTAAAAAGTCTTTATAAATATTTACCTTTACTACTGATTTTCTACTTCCACAATTATGTCTGACAAAAACCGACTTTTACCACTGAAAATATTTTTAAAAAAATTAATAAATCTAACTTAATATATGTTGCTTGTCATGTACTATTTATACTTTATTAGAAAATATTTTTTTTATTCTCATTTTTCTCAAGAAAAGTGGGATAAAAAAAAAGAGTTGAGGAGTTTTAGAAGAGTTCTTATATTGCGTGTGGCGGCTGTTGCATTCAATAGCCCGGCAAACGAGAAAAGTTGAGGAAACACGTGCTGAAAATATGCACTATCACTCTCGTGTCTCTGTCACTGCTTTTCAATAAGCAGTAATAAGGCTAACATCTCGAATTGAGAGCGTAGACACTATATAATACAGAGAAAAGTTTCCACTATATGAATATTGAAAATCGAGAATTTTTATTTTTCAAAAAAAAAAAAGAAAAAGAAATTTGTTCCTTGTTTAATATTTCCATATAAAAAAAAAATAAAAATTATTTTTTCATTTAAAAATAAATTTTTTTTCTCAGTTAATTTTTATTTAAATTAGTTGATCTGTTCCTTAATTTTCTCATATTAAAAAATTAATATTTTTCATTATTAGAAAAATTTTTCATTATATTTTTTCATAAAAATAGATTTAAAAATTCGTTTATTTTTTTTTGGAATTAATTGATCTTGTTTTGGTAAAAGACATGTAACAAAAGAATTCCTATTTCGCAGTAATATTATTCTTTCATCTAAAAAGTTATATACACTTTGCTTTGGTAAACTTTTATAACATCATAAATCGTAATATAAAAAGTTGTTTCTCAACTTGTTTGTTTTATTTTTTATGTTTGTCATTTTTTCGATAACTTTAATGTACACAGTTTTTATTCCTGTCTTGTAGATAAGTTAATTTCAAGTTTTCTTCTTTTTTTTAACACAAAATATAAAAAAAATAAAAGTGTAAACAAAGTTATCTCAAAGGTGTCAAACATTATTATATAAATAAGAGATAGTAATTTTTTTTATTTTTTTACGAATTTTGAAAAATAAAAATTTTTTTTCTTTCATCTCCATCACACATTTATGTATAGAAGCCAGATGCTTGAAGTGCAATTTCCGGGGGTTTGCAGTCGTGTGTAAATGGCGTGACACTGACAACGATGTGTGTCCAGAACACTAAAACCTGCTTTCGCATGTAATATGCCTTCTAGTGTATAATATTCCTCTGTATTCAACACTTATCGTGAATATTGATTTTAGCTTTGAAAATTACTTTTCATTGTGTTATGATACAAAGAATAATTTTAATATTAATTTAGTTTTCTTTTTTTTTACAAATTCTTACTATAAATCCTACATTTTTTTTTTTTTTAATTTTGAAATTAATTTTTATTAGTTTTGTTTAACCATTTTTCAGTTTTTGAGGTTATGTTAGGGCCACCACTCTCCTTATAACACAATATTTTGGTTACTTAAACAAAATTTGACTCAAGTAAATTATTTATTTGCTATAAATAAATATTTATTTAAATAAATGTTTACTCCCACTTGGAAAGATTCCCCGGAAAGTGCCCCCTGGAGGTTCTATCAGAATTCCGCCGGAACTTCCAACGTAATTCCGTCGGAATTCCATCGGAGTTCCTAAGAATTTTCGATGGGATTCCGACGAAATTCCGATTAATTTTTTTTACAAACTTTTTAGAGTCCTAATTCCGTTGGAATTCCGTTAGAAATTCTTTGGAACTCCGATGGAATTCCGACGGAATTACGATGGAAGTTCCGGCGGAATTCTGATAGAACCTCAAAGGGGCACTTTCCGGGGAATCATTCCAAGTGGGTAAAACTTTTGCTACCATAATGAAACGTTTCGCTGTTTCAGGTAAATCTTTTTTTTTCGTGTAAATAGAAATATTTATATAAATAAATATTTACTTGTTCATAATAAATAATTATTTGATGTAAATAAACCGTTGAGTTTCTTTAAATAAATTTTTCAATTGAAGAAAGAATTTAATTTTAATCAAATTGATTGATTCAATCAAAAATTTAGTTAACTGAAGAACAAATACATTTATTTGATTGAATCAAAAAAATTTGGTTGTTTCAAACAAATTTTTTTTTTCTCTGCGGTACAATTTGAATTTATATAGTTCAAAATTTGAAACTAAAATTAATTATTAAAAAAAAAATAGAAAATTAAATTAAAAAAATTAAAACAAAAAATTTAATTATTAAAAAACATCTTTAAAATAAAATTTATTAAAATTAAACACTACTAAATAATCAAATAACTTGTTTAGAGAAACTATCTAATCGTAAATAATACGCTTTTGTTTAAAATTATACACAAAACAGTAAATTATATCCACCGCAAACTATTTTGAATTGTGAAACGTTTACAATTTTATCATCGCATACATCGACTAATTCCACATATATATATATATAGCTTTAACAAGCAAATATCAAACTAATTGCCTTGTTTCTATGCAAACATTGATGAAAGATGAAAATTATTGGAAATTGTTAATTGAATTTTGTCCCCAAGGATAATAACTTGTATGAGAGAGAGAGAGAGAGATTTTTTTTTTGGTCCGCTTTTAAATTAATAATAATAATAATAATAATAATCGATTATTATTGTATATATATATATATATGTTATAAACAAAATTGATTTCACTCTCGCGAATTTATAAGCCCAGAGAACGGTGAAAATTAGCCTGTGAACGTGCGTCAAAGTTGGTTTAGTAGGGTTAGCCCGTGATGTATTCACGAGCGTGTAATTTTCATCATATCCACGAGGTACGTGAGGTCGAGGCTCGTTGCCGTTGGCAAGCGTTAGGCGCCGTGTAATAACCACTACCATCACCCTCCCCCCACCCCACCCCTTTTCAAAATCCCTGTTAACGCTTCACTCTCTTGTCCCTTTTGGTGGGAGGCTTTTGAACGTTTGCAGCTCTAAGCATTCAAGAACACATCCACTTATTCTATATGTATATATGTAGGTACAAATGTGAATTTTAAGCAGAGGAAAAAAATTTTTCAACCCCTCACCCCCCAAAAAAAAGAAACCGAAAAAAAAGGAAATCTTTAATTAGTGAAAGTAATTATAATTTATAATTGAAAATAATTAATTAATAATATTTTATAATTTGTTGATTATCAATTATAATTAATTAATTATAAATTATAATTAGATTATAATAAAAAATAATTAATTAATAATAATAATTTCTGATTAGTTGATGATAATTTACTAGTATTTAATTATAATGCACAATTTATAATTAATAACTTACTAGTACTAGTAGTAGTAGTAGTAGTAGTACTAGTACTAGTAGTAGTACTAGTAGTAGTAGTACTAGAAGTAGTAGTAGTAGTAGTAGGAGTAGTAGTAGTAGTAGTAGTAGTACTAGAAGTAGTAGTAGTACTAGTCAATTTTAATTAATAACTTACTAGTAGTACTAGTAGTAGTAGTAGTAGTAGTAGTACTAGAAGTAGTAGTAGTACTAGTAGTACTAGTCAATTTTAATTAATAACTTACTAGTAGTACTAGAAGTAGTAGTAGTACTAGTAGTACTAGTCAATTTTAATTAATAACTTACTAGTACTAGTAGTAGTTCTAGAAGTAGTAGTAGTACTAGTAGTACTAGTCAATTTTAATTAATAACTTACTAGTAGTAGTAGTAGTACTAGTAGTACTAGTCAATATTTGTCAGACATAATGTCGAAATTAGAAAATCAGTAGTAAAAATAAATATTTAGTACGACTTTTTAATTTTTTCTATTTTTTTGCCGTAGTAAAAAATATTTGGTGCAAAATTTTTTTAAATTTTCAGTAGTATACATCTGTTTTCGTCAGACATAATAGCAAAAACAGGAAAACAGTAGTACAAGTAAATATTTAGTCAGGCTTTTTAATTTTTTAAAACAAATTTTCAGAAGTAAAAAAATTCATAACCACAAAAAAAGGTAAATAAAACAAAACACATGTGTATATATTTTTTGTTAAAAAAAAACAAATATTCGTGAAGAGTAACGCGACTCAAATGTTGACAGGCAGATAATGTACGAATGTAGTATATATAGGTATATTTTATCGATTGAATATATTGTGTCATTGTGACAGTGATACATTGATCAAAAGTCAGGACTTTCAAACTCTAAACTCGTGTTATCAACATATGTATACATAACAAACCGTTACTTTTGTTTACGCGTTGATTATACTATATATGTAAACTGAATTTTCATTCTACAAAAGCGAATTTCGCTTTTTCATTTTATTACAAGGAAAGAAAAAAATTATTTGATCAGTGATTGAAATAAACAAATTATCGTGTATAAATTTCATTCATTTGCAAAGCAACGTAATTGATTTGAATA